TCCCCCCCCTAAACAGCTCTTGGGACGTTATTCCAGCCCACGTCGAAAAAAAAACTCCACTGCGCGCCCCCTTCCTCCCCCTTTCTACCCGCTGCTGATCGTGCCCTTTTTTTCGCCGGGCAACTTTTTCCGTGGTGGAGCATATATCTTACCGAGGTGGTAATACATTATACACTAACTCGTTATTGAGGGCGGCGTGTGCGTCGCTGAGAAAACATGTGATGACAAAAGTGAAAACCAGCGAAGAAATGGCTAGAGTTGCCAAGTTCCCCTTTAAAGGGACAATATCCGCCTCGTGTTACTGGAGTAACACCTCATCACACTTCCTGTTTTCTTACTGTTTGGATGTGAAAGAGCCCCTAGTGGCAGAAACTGCACACTGTTCAAATCTTCATCATATCACACAAACATTACTGCCCCCTGTATGTCGGATCACAGCCGGATCAGTTCTGCACTCAGTGCACCCTTACTGACTGAGGTTGAGAACAAACTCAAATATAATAATAATAATAATAATAATATATCCATATAATCCAATAATATCTATAAACACACAATGTGATCAATAATAATGTAAAAACAAACAGATTTAAAGCCTTTAAGCAGATTAATTTACTGGAATCAGATTAGTTTGTTGTTGATAGAAACAGGTTCATTACACTACAAATACTGCAGTACTTCTACTCTTAATAAAGTACTTCTACTCTTAATAAAGTACTTCTACTCTTAATAAAGTTACTGTGCAGTATTTCGACCTGAATCGTGGTTCCAGCAGTCAGTTGTTCAGTGACCTCTGACCCCCTGCTGCTGTTTTCATGCTGCAGAAGCTTTAAGCTCAGTGTTTGTCTGTGCGGAGGTCAGATTAAAGGATGTAAACAAGCGTTAATCCCACCTTTGTGTTTGTACAACACAACTCATTTATGATGATTATTGATCCTCCGTTAATCTGCTGATAGAGAAATATCAAACCGAGACCATCAGTGTGTCCTTCCTGCTTCCAAAACCGAATCAGAAAAACACAACAACAACAACAACAACAGGTTGTTTTTTTTGTTTTAAAACCAAACAGAGAAAATAATTGAGTAAATTCAACTTGGTAACATTAGAATAAAGAAGTTCTTTTATTCAGATCAATTCTGTGAATACATTTTAAATAAGTTTGGAGAAATGAGTCAAACTTTAATTAATTAATTTACCTCAACAATAAATACTTGAGTTACTTAAATCAAATATTTTTCAGGCTGTTTGAATAAACTGAAACAGTTTAAATTAAATTAACTCATCAGATTAAAGAAAACATCAGCTGCTGTTTATGACCATAAAGAAACATCTGCAGAGACCTTATTAATTCTTATTAATTTAAACCTTCTGTTTCATTATTACTTATGTTATTAGTGATCATGAATAATAATAATTGTTATTATATATAAATAATAAATGTATTAGTTCTGAGTTTAAAGTGAAAAGAATTGTGCATGTATGGAGGAACTTTAGTGCCAAATGTTCTTTAAATAGTGACTTTTTAATCTTGTATGGAAGATTACAAATATATTATTATTATATAAAAATATTATCATTATTTTTGTGTTTTTCATAAATGAACCACGTGTCAGTTTTGTTTGACTTGTTTTCTTTGTTTATTCCGGTTTATTGTTGTTGTCATTATAAGAGCACTGACTCATAGAAACCATCATCAGTAATATTTCAATCAATATTTTTTATTAATCATCAGAGGGATCAATCATTCAGTCGGTTGTTTCTGTGACTGGAAGAGTGTCAGTGCGCCACAGAGCTTCAGTCAGACAAAGATCAACACAATACTGTCCACAGACTTTTGGCTGTACAGTGTAAAGGAAGGTCGGAGGTCGGAGGTCGGAGGTCAGAGGTCGGAGCCGGCGCTCTGCCTCTGCTGCGTCTGCCTCAGGTGAGCTTTGGTCTGCAGGTGAGCCTTGAGGAAGGTGAGCAGGCGGAAGTGTTTCCCGCAGGCGAGGCAGCTGTGCGGCGTCTCCCCGCTGTGGATGCTGCGGTGCCTCATGAAGCTGGCGGCCAGGTTGAAGGTCTTGGAGCAGAGCGAGCAGCGGTACGGTTTCTCCCCGGTGTGCGTGTACCGGTGGTCCCTCAGCAGCTCCTTCAGCCGGTAGCTCTTCCCGCAGACGTCGCAGTGGAACGGTTTCTCCCCGGTGTGGCTCCTCTGGTGGACTCGGAGCTGCGACGGGTTGAGAAACTTCTTGCCGCACGCCTCGCAGGCGACGACGGCGTCTGTGGCGGGCAGCTGGTCGGCGGGGAGCTCGTGCGAGTGCTTGCTGATGACGTGGTTCTTCAGGCAGCGGTAGCTCTTGCCGCAGACGGAGCACAGCTGCCGCTCTCCGGTGTGGACGGCCTGGTGGCTGCGCAGGTTGGCGGCCTGCGTGAAGCCCTTCCCGCAGGTGGAGCAGCGGTACGGCCGGACGTCCTGGTGCACCAGCTTGTGGCGCGTCAGGTGGCAGGCGTGGTAGAAGCTCTTCCCGCAGACGTCGCAGATGAAGGTCTTGTCGAAGTGCGTCATGCGGTGCGTCTTCAGCACGCTGACGCAGGAGTAGCCCTTCCCGCAGATGTCGCAGCGGCAGGTCTTCTCGCCGGTGTGCCGCGCCTTCACGTGCAGGTCGCGGTGCGCTTTGTGGTTGAACCTCTTGGGGCAGTAGTCGCAGGCGTACGGCAGCAGCCCGTGCTCTTTGATCTCGTGCTCGCGGAGCCTCAGGACGCCGGTGAACGCCGCCCCGCACACGGAGCACAGCGGGTGGGACTTCCTCTCGTGGTCGGCGAGCCGCTCTGCGTTTGGAAACAGCATCTGGCAGTGCGGACACTGCCGGGGGGGCGCAGGCTCGCAGGCCCCGGCTCTGTCCCGCCGGCCGCCGTGCTGCTTCCTGCTGCGCCGTGCTGAGACTCCGCCCTCCGCTGGCGAGGACGGCCGGGCGTACTCGTGGTCGGGGGGGGAGGGGCAGCGCTCACTGGGCGGAGTCTCAGATTCACCTGCAACAGTGAGTATTGATCAGTGAGTATTGATCA